ATGGAAAGCAGAGACATTAACAAACTTAAATGAATATTTTAGAGCTTAACTCTCAAGGGCCCACCATGAGCAATATTTAGTAGTGGAAATGCACAAATTCTTCAAATGTTCATATGACATATATATGAGTAGCTATCATTTCTTCACCATAGATACTGAAGCTGCATTTCTTAGTTAAAGAAAATAAAAATTTGTGTGTGCTTAGTGAGACGGACAGAAAAAATATTTATTTTTTCTAGTCTGTATATTTAAAGATCATTTCTCATGTGTATACCAAGAGCAAGTTACATTAATTTGATTGTATTTATCAATTTACATAAAGATATAGCAATAAATGGTCCATCTAAAGGTCATAAATGTGTTTCTATTATATCGAATGCTTAAGGATATAAAGTTACATTACTGAAATTTAGACTAGTAAGCAAAGACTTCTTTCTCCTTCAACATCTCATCCTGTGGAGCTGTTCACATGATTGATAGATAACCTTGTGGGTCTAATTTCTGAAAACAAATGTAAGAACAGTTCACTGTGACAAGATTCAGGTTGATGCTGATTTGACTAAATCTGTTGGGAAAGATTGGTGACTGCATCAGATAAACAATGTGTTATCTCTCTGTATTTGTAGAATTTAGAGTAACTATATGAGGAGTCTTTTGACTGACTGCTGTCCTGTGTTTTATGTCCCCCAAATATAAAAGGCAATAGATCTCTATGGAGTCTAACGTGTGTCATTGTTGTTGTAGATCAATAATTGTCTTCAATCTATCACGAAGTTTCTGATAACATCTCCTCTCTTTTAATGATAGTTATCAAGGTAGTGGCTATGTGCAGTTCTGCTAGTGTCAGTGGTTTATGGTTCTCTCCTTTCCTGTCTATCTGAACTTCCACTTTTAATTTTGGAACAAGTTATTCACATTGCTTTTCTTACATCCTGCCAGAAGTGAAAAATGGAAATATATTTATGGTGATTATTTTATGTCAACTGAGCAGTCTTTGATCAAAAGACCTAGTGGACTCTTCTGTGGAGCTTAGAATTTGTGGAAAGGAAAACTCGTTACTAATTTAATACTTTCCTCTGAGAAATATTTTGATAGATTGGATCCAGACACCTATATTTGTCACCACTGTGAGCTAAAGGCTACCATCTTCAAAGTAATGCTTACCTATAGCAGATAATGGACTACCTATCTCGTACAACAACAAGAGGGAATCATAATCCTTGGCCTGTCCTCTAAAATGTTTTTTTTTTATCAAGATGCCACTAAATAGCAATACTAGATGACTTTACAAGTCAAAATTTGTAAGCATGAATCGACAAGAGATGACTACTTGGTACTGGAAACATGCCCTAAAGATGGATGTTAGACTTAGCTGACCATGTTTCATCAAAAACATTATATAGGGTAAAAACTGGGAATATATTATTCACATCACTGTGTATTCCTTCAGCACTGGACTCTTGCTCAAGATTAGGTTTTCTCAGGTAAAACAGTCTCAGGTATTTCTGAGCTGTGTGAGTATTCAAAATGACTGTCCTGAAAGATTTTTTACGGGTTACACCTACTTGGGTTTGCATGACCAGAAGTTATAGCACTTGATTATATGAGGTAAAAGACAGCTATGTAAACACAAGCCATAACTATGCCTTTCAAGCATGATTTGCTGTGTTTGCCATGTTCATTTGAAACTGTACTATAGGTTGCTGATGATGCACATCATCACAGGGACCATTTTCTAATGTACTCACTCTGCTCATATTCAAGAAAACACAACTGCTTGCAACTGATGTCAAGTTGGTGACCCTATAACATATAAAGAGTATATGAACACTCTCTTATTTTTGTGGCAACAGCCAAGCAAAGGGTATACATCTATTTAGATTCACCGTATACCTAAATATGGGATTGGGCTGTCATGACTGGAATATATCAGTTCTATAACAATGATTGCTGAGCCATAATATCATGTAATTGTGAACACTGACAAATAGAATTTTAATAAACCATCATTTTTGTATTACAAATGAACCTACATTCTTTTTTCCTGAGGTCATGAAATGAACATAAGGAAATCAGAAATTGTTCACACCTCATAAATGAGTTCACAGTGCCTGCATTTTGATTCTAAGCATTGCCAGTTTCTACTGAGCTGTAGACTTTGCTTGAAGTAATGTACGCTATGAAATATGTGTATAAATTGGAAAATATTCTATGCCAACATAACCAGATTGAAATGTTGAGTAGAAACATTATTTTCTGATTTAACACACTACCCTTTGCAAGCGGTGAACCCATCTGGCCATATGTTAAGTGACAGAATTACACTGTGCTGTTATTGGCAGGTAAGTGATAAAATACTTCACAAAAAAACCTGTCCACTTTGTTGTGCTGCTGTTAAGGGCTATACAGGTGCTGTGCTTTGGGTTATTATCAGATTCCAGTCCCCTGTTGCTAATCTCCCTTCCCAGAGACTGATGGATGAGCAAATGGATGACTCTGGACACAGACATGCGACAGACTAAAAGTGATAAATTCCTGTATTAGTATCAGGTGGCAAAATGGACTGATTGTTCAGTATATATTTTACTGCAACAGCAATAATAATAATAATAACTGATTTTAAAAAACTATGAATTAACATGTGCTGACCAAGGAGATTAAGAATGAAGCTAAGAAAAGGATGTGATGCAATTTTGTAGGAGAGAGATGACCACTCACTAAACAGAAAACTTTGGCTTATATGATAGTTAATTTGATCACCACCTGCAGACACTGCCATTCTACAGAAGCAGAAGAAACCAAGCTATATATCTGGAAAGCTTTGTGCCATCATAAATGGCCAGCATATGGTAAAAATTTATGATATTTGTTACTTTGTTAATGCAGTTTTACTGTGACCTCAACTAGCATTATGCTGCATAAACAGGTAAGTGTAGAAAATCTTTACTAGTTTACATCAGTACTTCTTAATTTGTTTCATCTGCCTCTAAAATCTGTTTGATCAACACCCTAGGTGAAATAGAGCAGTAATTAAAGGTATTTCCATAGGACTGATATATTTTAAGTATATCTTCTATATCTTAAAGTTATGATAGGCAGTTGCACTACAAATGCAATTAAGATTACTATAATTTTAGATGATATGCTAAAGTGTATGTATATTGGGAAACAAGTCATGTATATATCTAATTTACACACTTTGAAATATATTTTCTTTTAGGAATACATGCTTGCTGTGGTCACATACTGATGATCCTCCAAAATGTGAACTCCTGATTAATAGTGAGCTTTTCTGGTTATCTACACACATCCAATAACCTCACATCATGCAGAATCTATGCTGTCTAACATTAGAATCTAGTCTTACGTCAGGTGTCCAATGGAACAGATCTAAAAAAACTGCTTTTTTGGCCTGCTTTTGATGCTTTCCAGATTTTTTTCTGCATCTATGACACTGTTGACAGTATACTTCTCTACCAGCTAAGTCTTTTTGTGAGTCAGCTGGTAAGTCACAAGAATGAATTTAATACATGGGACACACACATTATACTTTATCATGTGACTACTAGCAGACAATGTGTTGATTTTCATACATAAATCAGAGAGATTACTTTATGAGAATATGACACATGATTCTTTTGTATCTGGTTTTGTAACTGACATATGTTAAAACGATCTTATGATTACCACTCTGTTTGTCGGCAATCTGTGCACTGTGAGCTAAGAAAGTGTGCTTAATGTCACAGCACTGGTGCATCAGCCACGGCAATATCGCTGGATTCAATAATAGTTTGTTGCTCAGCTCATCCACGATACCACTTGATTTACAGCATATCTGAATACCTTACTGGCCAGTGATATTTGCTCCTTTCACTGATAATAGCAATGTTTTCCTTTGCTGCTCATAGTGCTACAGCCATCTGCTTACTCTTCTGGAAGTAAAGCTGTCCAAACCCAGCCACGGCAGCAGCAAAAGGTGTCTGGGAGATACTGTTCCATGAAGGCTCCTTCACATCTTCTGCTGCCCCTATGTGTGGCTTCAGCCACCTCCAGATAGGGGATAAAATTTGGGCCACTTTCAACATAGGCCACAGCCAGCTGGGGCCAGGACTCTGCCACCCCCTCCTTGCTCCTCAGCCTGGTCATCTTACTCTGTCTTCAATCAAGGCTGCCAGTGATTCAGTAGCTTAGGTTTCTACTATCTTAAAAATACAGTTTCTGCAGCACACAGTGTTCAGTTTGCTATATGCCTTTTCCGTGGTTTGCCCCACTGATGGTTCAGATGTGAAGAACCAGGAATGGAAGGCAATGATTCCCTTGCTGCTTTCTATCCTAAACACTTTTTTCCCTAACCAAAAAGCCAGAATTTGTTTCTACATAATTTGGTACCAGAGGCCACATTTAACTGACTTTAAAATTGTGAAGTAAGCTAAAGAAAGTGGAAAATACAAAATTAGGCTTACCCTCTGTTCTTAACCCCTGTGCTCTTGGCACAGGAGTCTTGGCTGAATGCTTGAGGAGGTGAATGTCAAGAGAGAGTGCAAGTCTGCCCTTTATGCTTGAAACTTTTAGCTTACATTAGTTTATTGCACAAAATCAGCCTTAAAACGTCATTTTCTCTAATTGTCCCCTCCCTTCACCCCTCTTTGAACAAAGAAGAACAAAAGTTCATAGGAAGATATAAAATATGTATTACATTTATTTATGAGACTTAAAAGGGCTCCTTTGGAGCCATTTGAGTCTCTCCATCCCAGCCTATCCAGTAAATACACAGTTACATAATTTCTTTAAATGTAATTTTTGATAAAAGTTAATTTCTGTCTACAGTCAATAACCTTTTCACAGGTTTACACATCAAAAGGCCAGAGAAAACACTGCTACCACCTACTCTGGCTTGCTGCACGATACAGACTATCATACTCTGAAGATACACTTGATTGATAGACTGCAACTGGTTAAAACAATCCATATTCATTTTTGCATTGTGACAATTGTGACAATAGTAATATGGAAATGTTTATTAAAAAACTTTAGGAAAAAGGTTACGGCACATAAGCAGGAACCCACGTTTCAGAACTCAAGCAAAATATTTTCACTTTTTTTTTTTCCTTGATGCTAATAATTATAGGCCCTGGTATAGAACATTTGTTTTTTAAATACCATTTTCTTAAAACTATCTTTTACTTGTTTAACTTCAAAAGTAAACTCAGCAACACCACTAATTTAAACTGAACTACTACTATCATTTGAAGCCAGCCATGTACTTGGAAATCAGACTGAATACAATTGGCTCTGCATCTTTTGCCTAAAGCAAATTTTAATGTCTGTGTTACAACCTACTGAAAATAGGAGAATATAATAGAAATGCTGACACAACCTTGCCTTGCATGACATAAACATGCCAATATATTTGTTTTATTCTCCATCTCTCTGTATTTAATATATATGCATTTTTAAGTAAAATAAAATAAAGAATCAACATATCATGTATTCATGTATCTATGATATATCATATACCAAGCACTAGACTTATCACACTTACCTTCCTGCATAATTAAAGTTCTCCAAATACAAACATTTTTTTTTTACCTTACCAAAGAACAACAGTCAACATGCTCAGCACTTCATTACTCTCAGGGAGACAGTTGCACAAAATTCAAAGTTGCCACCAAACAGATTTTGAAATTGAAGTGAAATTTCCAAGTAAATAACAAAACAGATAAAATGCTGTTCTGCCTTAAAGACTATATAAAGTTAGTTCTCCCACTGTAGAGGAAAACCAAATGCAGATTAAGTAGTAGTGTTAGTACTTTCCACCAAATACCCAAGGGACAAAATCAGAACAGTAACATGAATCATTTTGTTCTGTCTGTGGTAGAACATAAGTTATAGCACTTTGCTGACAATAAAAAAAAATCTCCATGGATTAAAATATGCATGCATGTGTATGTGTATTTGTGTGAATGTATAAATATACAAACACACACGCATACACACACATACATACATTAAAAATATAGGACAAACAGGCATAGAATTCTCAGTTCACGAAATGAGCTGTTCTGCAGTAAATATCCTATGTTAGTTAATTATGAATCTCTATTTTAGCAAGAACTGAATTGGATTTACTAAATAATGCTGATACTGGTGCACTTCTAACCTACACTATGCAGTACCTCTACAAAACATCTCCAAAATGCCACCTGCATTGCATATTTGCTGTAAAACTATATCATCTTCTAATCTTCATTTTTGTTAGCCGTACATACGTATATCTGTTTATGCTCTAAGAATTAAGTTTGCAATGCTTTATAGCATGCCACATATGTTCATAAAATAAGTCCTCAAATCAATATAAAATCATATAACTGAACAAAAAGGCATACTATTTTTCATGCTATGCTCAATATAAATATAAATTCAAGGCAGTCAAGCTATCATTTCATTACCAAAATAATAATAACCATAATATATATCTATATATACCTACACTCTCTAAAAAATGATCCAGCTATGTGGATTAAGAAATCAGTAAGAAATTGGTTTGAATGTAGTATAAAATCTTGTTTTATGTAAAAGCCAATACTAGCCATTTCAAGTATCTTAATACTTTCCTATAATCTTTTCCTTAATAACTAGTTTTTTGTAGAAATGATAATTTTATACTGAAAATTTTATTCAAGTTAAATAAAAATTCACTTCTGCAGTTCATTTTTAGAGTGTGCATGTATACATAGCAAAATATCCTTCTACAGGTCTATCATAAATATTTTAGATTCTCCCACTTCTTTTCTAAGCAAACAATTCAACATTCTTTCTTTAGATTTTTTTTTGATAATATATATCAGGCCTTTCAAGAAATAAAACCCATCTTACTTGATTAGCAACACCAGACTCCCTTCAGTTTGTGCCAGTTTGCAAGTTAAAGGTCAAAGAGCAAAGACATAGGACAGTACACTTTAAGGAAATTCAGACAGTGAAGCTGTTCACAGACGACAATGTTTACTCAGTAATGACAGTCAACAGGTCAATAATCAAGTTGAAGGCAAGCTGTTCATTGTTTCGAAAGCTACTCCCCTCAAATCCTGGCTTTCATACAAAACCAGGTGTCTGACTCATGGGGTGCATTCACTCTGACCATCTTTAGTAAGTTCACAGCCCAGTGACTGTAAAGCCTATCACTGCAAGAAGCAGCTCCTAAAATCAATAAAGAGGTCTGTCAGTTGCTGACTTTTCTCTAGGAAAAAAATATCAATACAAACCTGCTCTGCAGGTCACATGAACATGACAATACTGCTGTTAGCACAAATTACGCACAATGACAAATGCTTTGGTGGTCCCTTGGTTCTGTCAGTGATATAATGTTGGGCTAAATGCCAGAGATCTGCCTCACCCTTTGAGAACTATGGTGAACATGCAATGGCATAAAACACTGGAGTATATTCATGCAATATCAGAGTCATCATTTTTGCTTTCCCTTGAAACTGTAACTCTACCTCTGTAGAAGCAAATTGAATTATCATGCAACATGGTTTAAAAGAGAAATTCAATATGCCTAAGATAAAAGGCTAGGCTATAAAACCGTAGCCAGTTTTGAAAAAAAATCCTGGTAAGTGGCAGCAGTTATTAAAATCAGTTTGGTTCATTTAACCAGAAGGTACCTGGTAAACGTATTTTGCTTTCTATTGGTATGCTACAATTGCTTTTTAATACAAGTCATTAAAATACTCACTTGCAGTCACAGGAAATCTGCTTTAAAAATCTGATTTTCTTTTAAAACCTGTTTTTCCCAAATGCAATCCTGTAATGTAATGCCAACAAAGATTAGCATCCACCAGACTCTGAAAACTGATGCAATAGTTCTCAAAGGGTTACACCGATAAAATACCAGCGTCAAGTTTCTCTGTAGCATGACTGTTGCTTTAATTCATTGAAATCCACTTCAGAGACACACTGCTTTTTACCATGTTTTGGAATGAGTGCTCCTGACAGACCTGGGGTAGGCCTGGGGCGGTTGGCTTGGTATAATTTTGGAAAGATTATGCAGGAAAACCAACCAGAAACCAAACAAACCAATAAAAAGGTTCCACTTGAATATAGTAATGAATATAAATGAGTTTAAAACATTGAGGACATAGCCCAGAGCAGCTGTATAAAACACAAAATGAATGTATCATTAAGGCTGTTACTATATTGCAGATATTTTGGCCCCTTGTTTGTTGGAAAATGGCTGTCCGAACAGTCTGAAGTCCTGCGTGTCATCCAGCTCTCCCACCTGACAAAATTGGAAGCAGGAGTATAGGACTTTATCCATAGCAGACAGAAAGCAATCCTCTTTGGAGACAAAGCTGTTTTGGGTCTTCTCTCTTTCCTGAAAGTTCCACTGCGGGTTGTTGTTTTTTTCTAAAAAAATTTACTTTCAGCAAAAAATTTTTTTTCAAAGGGGAACAGGCCTTAGGGGACAAATGTAGAAACATTGGAGAATTTTTATTTGTTTGTTTTCCTCTTCATTAGTTAATCCTGATAGTTTATTGGGTACCGAGCGTGCAGAGGAAAGGCCTAGAATCGAATGACAAAGAAAGACAAAGGACTGAAGAAACAGCAGATACCGTGTATCATGGAAGCTTCCCAGCCGAGCGAGTGGCCCCGCACGTGCAGGACAGGCAACCCCCGGGGTTTTAGAGATCAGCTTTGTTTCAGACTGACAGATGCCCGCTCCTAGCTAGGAAACTGCATAACAGCTCTCGTGTTGAACCTCAAGTTACCACAAACTCCTGGGAGGGAAAGAAGAAAAACCAAAGCCCTACATCACACCCACTCTTGCATAGAGCGTTTGCAGTACAGTATGTGGCGGGGTGTTCCTTTCCTTTTGAACTGGAACACAGTGTAAACCAAGACGAGGAGGCACAAGGCCAGGATGCAGGGGATGACGATGGCTATGGCTTTCACAGTGCTGGCTGTGTTGTCCAGTTTGATGACAATGTCAACGTCATCTTGAGGGCTGTGTCGGTCTTTGTCTCGGTCTGTTGGTCCATCACAACCCATAAAATCCTTGAGGATGGATCTGGGGTAGCCAGGTTCCACCCTGAGCATCTGGTTATTGAATTTCCAGTACTCTTTTCCTTTGTAGAAATATGTGAAGCCTGAGGAAGAAAAGTGCAATTATTTTGTAGCAATAATTATTTTGCAAAGAAAATTGTTTTATGACAATGAGAGTCAAAAGTACTCATGGGCCTTTCAAATCTTCTGGGCACATTCACTTCTTTCCTGTTTCCAGAAAATCTTAAAGCCTAAATTTCTTATTTGAATAAGCTAGGATTTTATTTTCCTCACTTACAAAAATAAACTCCAGAGGATATGAACTCTGGGGGGTTTGGTTTTATCCAAAATAAAACACTTAGAAAACCCAGCTAGACCTTTAGAACTCAAGAATCCGTAAGGTCAGATTTTGGGATAATGAGAAGCGTCGCAACCCCTTTGAATATAGGAAGCAAACTGCAACACTATCCTAGCCAAGAATGAGACCTAACCCTCTTCAGCGTCACTCAATCTACTGCCCTACTTTGGAAGAAGGAAAATAGATGGAAATTTTCCTTTGCCAGGAGAAAACAGGTGTACCCAGGTTCAAATTTTCTGCAGGAAACTAGTCCTTGATCATTCAGGTGCAATTCAATGTAATTACCAAACACGCCTAAATGCAGAAAAACCGCCTGTCTTCCAAAAACCTACATTACTGTGTTATATCAGCTGAAAAATGGCATTATTCTGGCATGACATAAAACTTCAGGATGAATGTACTTCTTCCGAGTGTTTATGAGGGGAATGCAAACAGCTGAGTTTTGCCTTATGTTTGCTTTATAGACCTCCACTTTTTTTTTTTCCTGCACTGCTAAAGGCCGCTTTATTAATATTAATACCAATTAAAACTGATTAGGCACTATTTGTCATTTTGACAATGCTTCCTGCAAAGATCAGTTACTGGCTATTTGGAGGCAATATTAAAAATCAATATTCAAACAGCTGCTAGAGTCTTTGAATTCTACAAAAAAAAAAGAAAAAAGAAAAAAGAGGACTTGTTAATACATAGGTTTTCCAGCTCAAGCTATGTACAAAATTCTTCATAGGCTAGTGCTGCATGCTTCAGAATATTTAGAATATTTGAACGGACTTCTACATTAGCTATTTATATAATTCTAATTGCCTTTCTACTGAATAGATGCTATTTTCCTTTTTTTAATCCCTTGCAGTTTTATTGTCAAAGAATGTGTCAGTGGATCTAGAAAAAGGTATAACACTGGTTGAAAAAAAAAAAAAAAGGAACGCACAGGATATTTGGTTACAAAATGCTTTCTATTCTAACAAGAACAAAAGAAACATAGGACTATATTTTTTTAAATACAATGCGGTTTTAAAATATTAGTATAGAGAGTTCCTTAAAGAAATCTGCAGTTTAAATGAAAAATATTATCAAGGGCAAAATTTCAGTATTTGAGCCACAAGGTACCCTATCTATGTATTTCACATAGCGACATGTAGATAAGAAAGCACTGCCTGAAACAACCCTGAATAAGAACTCCAGCTTTGACAATCATGTCTCCACCTATATTCTGTTATGTATATGGTAACTATTATATACGCATGTATCTCTCACATATCTATATCTCTGTTCTAATATATATAGAGAGATTATGTATAGATACGTATATGTCAGGTGTACATATAAATCAGAATACTGACTTCTTTAGTTAGTATCATTTGGTATTACACTGAAATATCAAATGAAAAATATTAAGACTGAAGAAGTACAAGAAATAGCATCCTCAAAGAACCAGAATCTTCAGTCAAAACACATTTTGCTCTACAAAGCCCTGAGGGCAATTTAATGTCACTTTACTGAGATGAGACCCAGGACAGTGAGGCCAGCAGCAGCTGCACAGGGGCTGCTCCAGGTGAGGAAAGGGAAGTGCCAGACACCGAGCACTTTTAGTGCTTCTTGTTGCAGACAGATGGTTTGAGCTGACCTTTGGAAGCGGTTCCCTTTAACCTGCCTGACTTTGTTCTACAGCAATCCAGAGATTCCTCCAGGTGTTTAGAGTGGAGCCAGGCTAGGCAGGTGCTCTGTGGAGGTTGGGAACTGTGCGAGCAATGCCAAAAACCCAAAGAGTGCAGAGGGGCTGAGCAGTCCCTAACACCTGCAAGAGCAGCTCGTGCTAGGACTGGCAGCACGTCTGAAGGGTAGAACGCTCCATGGGCTTATCATGTAGGCAACCTTTCCCCTTTCTCCTCACCAAAATTGTCCTGCTGTCCCCTCACTGCAGCAGAATTTCTGACTTTCTAAGATGCTCTCCATCTGTAAACTGGAGTTATTTATTCTTTGCTGCTTCCCAAGAGCTCCTGCCACAGCACTAGAACAAGACTACATTGCAGAAAGCAGCAGAGGAGGTTTGCAAGGTGTTATGTATGTCTGATTGTTCTTCTGGGAAACCGAACGAACCTGGATGCTGGCAGCAATACCAAATAATAATAATAATAATAAATATATTATATAATATAATAATAATATATTTTATATTTATATAATATAATAATTATTATTATCATTATTATCCCAATGTTTGTGGATAGTGAAAGAAACCTCACAATCCCTCTTCATTATTTCAAGGAACACCTCTTAGTGTTCTTCTAGAGAAAGTTACAGTATCATTCCTGGCCCTGCTTTCTGCCCCTGGGCCCTGGAAGCCTATCTAGGAGGCCCTGCAGTGTCCTCCCTTCCTTCCACAGACTCTTAGAAAGACCATTAAAGCTAGTGAAGGGAAAAAAAGAGGTGAAATACGTTCAATATAACTGAGTCTTTTCTGCTTTAGGAAGGAGTTTTTTCTTCCTGCAGATCTCATGCCCAGTGGCCTGAGTGTTGGCAAGAACATTTTCATGGGTAATGAGAGATACACGTACTTGATCTCAGTACTGACACCTTATTCTGAGCAATCCAATCGAGACATGAAAAAATTGTATATATATCCATATATGTATGTTAAATATCATTTGAATGTAAGTCTTCATAAATATGCCTAACAAGCAATGAAGGAAAAATATCAGAGGTTATATGCATTATGTATATCCATGTATACATAATGTTTGCCTCATTTCCACATATATATGCATATTTATAAACAACAGTCAGCTATTGAGTGTGATATACACAGAATGTCATATTGCCTGACCCATTTTCCTGTTAAAAATAAAACAAATCAAAAACAGCATTAAAAAACCCCGTACTACAGCCAAAATGCCAGAATCCAGAGAGAGCTTCTGTTTTGGGATGAAACAGGTACAAAGCAAGAAATTAATTAAACATTTTTTCTAAAAAAAAAAAAAAAACCACACATCCATGCTAAATTAGTTAAGTTACCGATGCAACAGAAGACTATTCAAGATGTATGTAAGGATTTTATCTACCTATCTAAATGAAATTAAAATAATATGGCAATATATGCATGTGCAGTGTTTGAGGTGAGTGCAACAAGCCCCAAACCTACTAATAAATTAGCTGTACATGCTGTATACAATTCTTTCAACAATGGCAAGTGGTGGCAAATTTGTATTTTTGTCCACAGCAAGGGGAGCCAAGCTCCATGCAACTGTGGTCTCTGCTGGCAGCCGGGCGGTAACCCTTGAGAGTATTTAATTCACCTAAAAGGAAAGAGTTTGGGTTACTCTCATTCATTTGGAGGTGCAGCCTGCTGAGATTCTAGGCTGCTACATCTTGGTCCAGGTAATGCAACTGCATGCTAAGATGCTGGTGATCTGTATTTCTGCATCATGGACTTATGACATCTTCAGTTTACATAGATTCTCAAGGACATTTCTGCTTAGATAATCGGAGCTCTTGCTTCTCTGTTCTAGTTCAGAAGGAAGGCAATAGTATAAACAGCCAGCACTTTGGCAATTCAAACAGAGATAAACTCTGGGTAGGGAACTTTTTAAAGAAGTACTGTAATCCAACAGAGTACAAAAATAGTGAGCAAAATTAAGAAAAAAAAAAGAAAAGTAATGGAAATTATGGTTATTATATTAAATTTCAAAGCCTGTGTTTTTCTTCATGTTTAATGATATAACCAAACAAACATTTCCATATTCAAAACTGTGAACTCTACAGCAGGAAATATTTCCTCTGCTCATAAAACAAGAATTCATCTTCTTCTTAACCTTATCACCTATAACACTCTATCTTACATAAAGGGTGCTGCTTCTAAATCATTAAAAGTGGGATGTTTTTGCATACCATTTTCTTTGTGGACAAAGGCTCCTTGAGGAGATTCTGGGATACCTTTCCAGATTGTGATGGGTTTGGGATAACCAGGGTCCATGGATCTCATTTCTTCACTGTACCTCCAGTACCTGATATTTTTGAAGATAAAATATAGGGAAGAGCATTTTTAGGAAAGCAGACAAGGAGTAAACTATTTTTTTTAATCTAGGATTTGCTACATGCAGTGGCCATAAATGGCAATATTTGACTTTTTTCCCTTGGAGATAGTATCAGATGATAAATTAAATCTGCATGATGCCTGAATGACTGTTTCATGCAATCACAAAGAAGATAAAAGATTCTTCCACTTTGACAACTAAATCAGCAAGCGTCTCAGTTATATTCAGAGCTATTCTGATTCCTAGGGCTTCTACACAGCAACACAGAAGCATAATATAAAAGGTATACAAATGTTTCAGCTGATTTTTTAATCTCAAAAAATGACAATGGATTCAAGTCAAAATACTCACAGAAATTTAACTTTCTTACTTATGTGTATGCATTACAGTAGTCCTTCATTTCACTATAATTAACTAGGTTTGATGTAATACAAAATTATTCTGTGCATCTGAGCCGGTCTGCCCTCCTCCAGTTTAAAAAGCTTCAACACACAAATTCTAGGCAACCTGAACTTGTGAGAATTTTAAACAAATAACTGTTTTTATTTACATTTATAGAAAATATTAATATTTTCTTTATATGCTTATTCACATGAATGAACTGTTGTGCACATATTTTATAAGCTGCGTGGTCCTAAATATTATCATACTATATCTCTGTATGTAACTGATACATATTTGGGATGGTCATTTCATGTTTAGATTGGCTCCAATAATTTAGCGGATAATTTTTATTTACTTATTTTATGCGTACTTTGATTAAAACAAATAAGCATGAATGTTTGTTGCATTTCTGAATGTCTGCTCTCTAATATTGAAAAGTTGCTCCTTATGAGAAAAATCAAACATATCCTCCTATGAACTGTTGGAACAATGGCTTTTGTGTATTCTTGTGGTTGTTAAGGAAATACAGTGATGGAGGAATGGGGAATATACAGGATGAAGGAATAAGACAATATATATTCCCTTGGTACAGTGTACGTAAATATTTGTGAGCGCTATACTTTGGAGAAGCTTAATAAAATCTAATGAAGAGAGAAAAAAATCCTATATATATTTCTGAGAGCCCATATATAGCATTATTCCATTTTGTAGAGTTATTTTAAAAAAGCCTTTGGAACAGATTCTATTAAGAAATGCAAACTTTTCTTAGAGAATTGTCTTTAGAACTCATTTTTACATATGTGAAAGATCCTCTAAAGAAACATCCACTCTCCATTTCAATACACAATGACATTGAGAATTTATCACACTAATTGAGAATGTGGTCACTGCTAAAAACTTGACCCTATTTTTGATTTGAATTTGTTTGACTATATCTAAAAGCTATTCTTGTTATGATCATTTCTGATACACTAAAGAGTCCCTAAGTGGATGGTAATTTGTCCCTGTGAAGGTACTTAGACACTCTAATCAAGTCACCTCTTGATCTTCTCCTTGAAAACTAAATGGACTGAACTACTCCATATTTCTCCCTATGAGGTGTTTCTCTGACTTTCAACTGCCAGGGAAAGTAAAAATGTCAGATTTCAAGTGGGTTAAAAGTTGCTAGTAAGTGACATAAAAATACTTGCTTTTATTTTTTCCTTCATATGAATAAATTACTTGTATAGCCTCATTTCTTAATCTAGTAACATATGCACCAGCCGTCCAAGCCATGTTCCTCATAATGAAATGGAACATCCTTCAGAGCTTACAGGGAGAAAAAAAAACAACATATAGAAATAATAGTAATAGCAGAGTAGTAAATTTCAGAATACTGAAATCAGTATTATCACAGCTAGTCCTTACACATCTTTTGACTTGGCATTTCTTCAGTCTTAGTTTACATTTTTTCTTTCCACATTTGCCTGCTCTTTCTGATTCACTTTGTTTCTTTTTACTATTTTCTGAGTTTAATATTCTATTTCCTATTTTCTAACCGCAACTGCATTTCTTTTTTCTCAGTTTCCCTCGAGCCCTCTTTATCAGTACTCCCTTTTTTTCCCTTCATGCTTTGTCTCCTCATTTTCACCTTTCACTCTTGCAAATTTTTCACATTTGTTGAGATCCTTCTTTTACTACTTATGTAAGGACTTTTGGGATACTACCTTTTTACAATCTGTGCTGGGATAAACATGTCTAGGAGGTAGGAAGAAGCTTGGATCAGTCCTCCTCAGCATGCCCCATGTTCTCAAGTAGACTTCCCCATGATTATATGAGTCCTTTTAGCTTCACCCACTATATGACATACCAGAGACTGATAGGATAATAGGTAAGACAAACAAAAATGTACTTTGTGGCTTTGGAGAAAGATAATTTGGAAAACATTTGCCTAAAAAGTTTCCTTTCCTGCATCTAATCCTGTTTACTTAGCAATACTCCGAACCACTGGATGACGAAGTTTTTTGAAAGAAAGAAAAAAAAAAATAAAGGAAAAAGATGCTCATTTAAGCTGTAAAGAGGAAAAAAAAATGCTGCTTATGCCAGACAGGGGCATAAACAAGGCCATGTGTCAAGAAGCACAGCAAGCCTGTCATCATTTTGTCCTAAACTACTGAATTTTGGTAAGAAAAAATGATAGAGTGCAAAATGTGTTTTCTATGATCTTCTGTCTCCTCTTTTGCTTTTGTGCATTTATTGGGAAGAACTATCTTTAATGGAGCATTTCAAATGGTTCAAATGTTAATAATAAGGCACACAGGTTCCTTTAGACATATGAATATTAGAATATCATTTTTTGGACTTTAAAATCTGTGATTATTTATTTTATAGCTGAGATTTGAAACCTTGTATTATTTTGCTCTAAATGATTCTTATTTATACCACTGTTCTAAGACATTTAACCATGTCTAGGTTCTGCCTGAGAGCTCTTTTCCTACAGTCAATACAAAATAAGCGTATAATTCATTGAGTTATATAAGGGGAAACATACTTTCCTATTTTGACACTGGAGTGACTTGTGATTCCCTTTCTTTGCTACCTCCTGCCACACAGAAGCTGCATTTGTATTATGCCTTTTCAGGAAAAAAATGCACCCCTATAGGAGACTTGCACAAACAACCGAAGCAGCAAAATTCAACTCAACTCTACATTAATTGCAAACTGTGATGTAAACAATATCATGAGAAGCTTAGTGCTATTATTCCCACTGGAGGTCAATATCCTGTAATAGCTCAACTATCTCTACAAGGTTCATGTTCTTCGATCTTCTTCTTACATATTTGCATGTATGCATGTATTGCATTTACATCTTTCTGAGTTTCATTGTGCTTCTTAGCACTAAGTAGCAGCTTGTCTATCAATAGATGTTTTCTCTGATAGTTCTTGTTTTCTGTTATTGCCACTATTATTTTAGGACCGTCTTAGTTATAAGTAATTGTGCATGGAAACACAGAAGGACACTGTTGAATCAAGCCCAAGATAGAGAAAAAGATTCACACACTTTTTTTTTGATATCTACCAAATTGCTTCCAGGATTCCTATACTGACCTATCTCCTTTGAAGAAGTAGGTTTTCCCAACGTCCTCCCACCAAATTGCTGAATCAATCCCATGGGAAGGAATTCCACTTCCAAGTGTTATCAAATCATGAGGATACCCTGGCTGGAGAGTAGTGTCCTTGAAGACCCAGAACTTGTTACCTGTACAAAAGCATACACATACACGTGTGTTAATCTTCAGAATTCTCAGTATTCAAATTAATAAACCTTTAAAAAATTAGAAAGATTCCTGAAGGGAGTTTGATTGTGCTAATCACATTACAATAAAAAATGTGCTATTGCTGCAGAGAATGCAAAAAAAATGAAATATTTCTCAAATATACCCTGATTTTATAAAGCACCTTTCATTCAATCAGATCAGAGGATTTTCATACCACCCTTATAAGGATCAAACCCAGAGTGAAGAATGAAGTCATCTCAAGGGTGTCTGTAGATGGTAATGAAATCCATTTATAGCAATGCTACATAGCAGATTTAATTTTCATATAGGAATAAAAGTGAATTTTACATATAATGGGGTAACAAAAACAAATAAAAAGGTGGAAAATACTACCCTCATACAGACTACCTACTTTTATTACTCTATTTTCTCATTTGCCTGAAGAAGTTGATTTACTTACACAGGATATACAAGTACATTCTGAAATTATTGTAGAACTTAAAATATTTTATATAGCACTTTTTTTTTTCCTTGAGGGTGGCCTAAAAACAGCAAACTGAGATTTTAAGACCCACAGGTGACATCCTTATGCTAGTCCTTAATGGAGGAGTTGCCTTTACTACAAGTGGAAATAAGATTTAACCTTGCACTTGGGAATCATTAAGAAGGGCTTATTGTACTCAGCACATAGTGATAATACAAGGAAGTTGCACGACTTCAGGTCCAAATGTCTATGCAAACTTCCAATTACCTAAACTGCTTTAAATACTAATAGTATCTGGGTCTATCTTGCACAGCAATGTTCAGTGATTGAATCCCTACTTTTGCAGTGACATTAAATCTAGCTGAACATACTGTTTCTATAGGCATATGTCTGCCTACAAGCACAGCAATGGTTGCACCAGTGTTTTTGCAGTATAGTCTTCCCTGTACCTTCTTTTCGTAAAGATGTTTCCTGTGCTCTCTTTCTTGTTGGGAAAGCTTACCTCACCAACATACAACTATTTCCCATGTTCTATTTGCTCTAGCTTTCTAGCCAGCCTCTTCCTCACCGAACACTTCCAGAGATAATCCTACCTGAATCCTCATCCCTTATTAGGCCTTTCATCTAACACTTTCCCCGAGGTCTCTTCAAAATTTTGTGTATGTTGTTCTATATTCCTACAACTATCTTCTGCCTTTTATGTTTTTGCTTCCTTGCAGTTTTTCTTCAAAATACACTTTTAGTAGATTCTCTTCAGGAAAGACTTCTCTTTCAATTACCAACAACTTCAACTGGAAAAACAAAAATAAAAAAAAAGGCAGTGGAAATCCTAGCATTAGAGAAAGAGGAGCATAATTTGTAGTTTAGTACTTCTCTGAAGAGCTTGGCTTGAGGTTGCCTTCTCTCCTTTGTCATCTAAGTCACAGTGATGTTCTTTCTAACCTGGACTGTAAGCTTTAATGCATAGGAACCATATGTTTATTTTCTCTTCAAAGCACTGCTTTGTAAAAAGCATTGCTATTGTCAACAGTAGTAACAGTGCAAAGAAAGATAATCTTTGACATCATATATTCTCTTCCAAATTGCATCACAGGAAGGTCTAAGGAAGGTCAGTGAACAAATAAATATATACATATATGTAAATAAATATATATATATATATATATATGAGGCCTATTGGATCTTGCACTTTGGTTCATCCTGTGTTGTTTAGTATATGATTGTTAAAATAGTAGTGGAAAAATTTGAAACTGTATTTGCTCGGATGTGCTTAGACAGAGATCCTTATACTATATGAAGGAGGAAATCATGGCTGTTCATGTTAGCCACTATATTTAAATGTAAGGCTAGGCAGATCATTATATGAGCACACTTAGGAGGTGAAGGCACTGTGTCGTATAAACATTTATAAGGAAATGTAATTTCACCCAAAGGTCTAGGATCAGATGTATGCCACCGTCACCAGAGAGCTGTTTTCCTGTCAGTTTTATATTTTAGCTATTCCTCAGAAGTATTAAGCATGTTTTGAAGAAAGGCTTTTAGTTTTTCTTTTTTTTTCCTTTTTTTTCTTCTTTTTCTTTTTAAATCTCTCTGATTGTACTCTAGCAATTTAAAGCATGCTTTCATCTTATCTCAATTTTAATTAGGTGAGGGGATATAGTTTCAATCCCTCCCATGTTTCCAGAGTAAATCGTTTTATCAGCTGCTTTACAGCTGCTTGTCACCCACTTCCAAACACAGCCACTACAATTTGCTCGACAGATCCATCCTGTCCCCCCAGCCAGCTGAAGGGAGAAAAACTTCAAAGAACATGTATGTGGAGAGTCATTTGAAGTACTGAAAATAAAAGGGACATAGGTCTATGAAAAGCAGTCATGAAAAATTAAGGTCTGTGCTGACCTTGGATCAAGGCCAATGCTAACCTGATTTTTACCTTTACTATAATCCCCTACAAAATTCACATATAAGGTCTGATGGGTGCCATGGCCTTTCTTTGTTCCTCCTCTCACATGGTTTATCCTTTGCCGGTTCACATGAGCAGGGACAGAATGCTTCAGATGGCAAAGGCAGTTTCAAATGCAACGATAAGAGGCATTTGATAAGAGGAATTATGCGCTTTGGACCTTACGAGTTGGTACTTATGGTGTGAACAACAGATGGCATCCAGTGAATGATACTGAGCCAGCTCATTTCTGCTTCAGAAGATCATTCAAAATGACAGCTGTTGCACAGCATCAAGAGGCATATGCTGTGATGTATGTAACACCATTACCTTTTTATGTGCCTCACAAGGAATAAAAGCAAAAGCAATTGTTAGGAGTTGATCGTTATCAGCCATACCCAATGAGTTAAATCCTGCTACTAAAAAGATCAGGTCACACAAAAGTAAACAGGAGATGAGCATGCAACATATATATATGACAGCATCACTGAGCCAGGTATCTATTGCATAAGCAGATGTCACTGCATTTGTACTATGGGCACACAGGAAAGCAAAGCGCAGATGTGGGAAGCCAAGAGTGAAGTGAGACGTTAAATCCTTTTTAACACTGTTTCTTACTGTAAAGCTAATTCTTGTATTCAGGTAAACAGAGAAAAGCAAATACAATTGCACTTTATTAAGACAGTAGGGCACTGAGAGCTTTAACATATGTGGGCAAGATTTCTTTGATTTCAAGTACAGGAAAGTGTATTAGACATTCACATTGGAAGATATGTTTAGTCCGCTATAACTATGTTGATCTTTAAATGGAAGGATTGTATATAAAAAATCCAAATGTCCCATCTGGTTGCCAGTTTTCACTTCAGGTTTTCTTGTTTGTTTGTTTTTTCAGTTTAGCTTCTGTCCCTCAGCTGGAGGGAACTGAGTGTTTGTTGATCACAGAAGGATTTCAGAAAAGTCTCAGCAACAATGAGAAGCTTTCAGACTCACAAACGAATTTTAGGAGTGGAAGCTGCCACTCAGTTGTAAATTTACGCATCCTAAAATGGATAGAATAGGATGGTTAAGTCAGGGTGCTTTGATTTAGCTCATAAGCCCCTTCCACTAGTAAGCTATTAGTCAATCAACACATTTCATTAATTGTGATTATAATGAAAATATAGAAAGACTATATGACAACACTAGAATAATAAGAGCTTAATCCTTCTTATGGATACATAAGACTTGTTCAAAGTCCTAACCTTTGTCCTCGGCAGCAATAAGCACTGTGTTTATTTGAAAAAAGAAAGAGTTTTTAAGGTCTGGATAGTAGATTTGTTATTCTCATAGAGTTTAGTAAAACTTCATGTTTCATGAAGTCTGGCCAATCACTGGAGCATTTCATCTCTCTGCATTTATTCCCCAATGTAAGGTCTAATATAACAACAAGCAGAATGGTAAGGTCGCAAGCTGAGAATGAAGCAAGAGATAAGTAAGTCAGAATGTCTTACTTTGTGCAACAGTGCTTTGTTAAATAACATCAGTGTAGCGAAACAGTTGAGAAGCATGAACTGTGACTATTTGGATTCAATTATTTGAAGACTCTCAATATCTACCATTCTAAAAATTGCTGGAAGTAAAGGGTATTGGTATTGTGTACATACACTTCTCTTAAAATATTGAATATTTAATTCCAGAGAACATAATTACCTCCTGAGTAGTACAAATAAGTATGCAGTGTTTATCTATAGTTACAGATATCTTCTTTTATCTAGATATCTACAGTTTCATCTACAGTTCCTCCTTTGTATATTCAAAATGCTCAATAGCAATAGCAAAATGCTCCTGTGTTGTTGGCAAGCAAGATTTTTTGTTCATGTTATGTAATTATATGTGTGTTCTGTAGGACCTGTGCTGGATATGGCATAGCAAACAGTGCAGTAAGATCTAATCACTATGTGTGAGCCAAACTCAAAGTTTCTAGGTACCATATTCATTTTAAACCAATTATATTTCTGTTTTTTTTTCATTTTGAAGTTTTCTGGTCCATGATCCAATGCCACAGTCTATTTTTCAAAATAAAACTGTCAGGTAGTAGGGTAAGTGCAGATGAAAGTTATGATGGTGGCACTGATAGTATGAGTTTTACAGCAGCTTTTCTATTGCTACATTTGGTTTACCATAACATTCAACAGCACAGATGGCTTGACAATTTAATTTTTAGCACCATGTAAATTCCCACAGGTACACAGAATAAATTTTACCATTCAAATTTCCTCAGTAAAAAAAAAAAAAATCTGTTTATCATTTGGTACCATCTTCTTAGCATGGACACCGGTAGTGAATAATAACAAGAACGTAAACATCTGCTTTTTATAAGTAGCAACCACCAGATTGCTGCGTGCTTTACGAGCATTATGAGGCACAAGGATACAGGTGTCTCGACATCCAAAATGTGCAAGTATCTCACTGCAAGCATGCTACTGTTTTTTTACAATTGTGTCTCCATGTATAAATACATATTCCTGGAAAAAAATATAGGGAACTAGTTAAAATGGTGCAACAAAGCTAAAAGAAATGAAACACAAACAAATTTCAAAACTGAGGAAGAGATTTGCTCCAACAGGCTGGAACTTGATTGAGCAGAGGCAACTAACCCATGAGATATGATCTCAGAGGCTCCTCACAGGAAGTAACTCTAAATGGGTACAAATGCACTGACAGAAAGGTTTTATTAGCGTAAGTTAGGAATGACTACATTTCTCATATGTAGCCAAAACACAACTTATGAAGATTTTTTTCAACATAAATAAATACTCCATCCTGAGCTGCTATCACCAGATCATTTGCATATGGCCTATATTTTATAACACAGCTCTTTTTTACAAAATATTTACAAAATGTTAGTTTTAAACATTTTTATACTTGTGCTATATTTTATTTCTACTGCTGTAGAGCAGAACTCTACTAATACCATGAATCCAACTGTACACATTAAGGGGAAAAAATAGCATTAATAATAAAAAAAATGTAGCAAAGATCTAAACTTTTTTCTCATTTAAATAAACCATTTTTCTGATGTCATATGCTGCATGTAATATTATTTTCCTTAAGATTCACACAAAAACTACAATTTCTCTATTAGAGAAACATAACTTTTATCTTTATTATACTGCTGTGTAATGTTTCTTCATGTTATTAAACATTTACCATTTAGCATCCCCAAGGTGCTAACATTTCCATAGTGAATGAAATATGACTTCTACCTCCCTTTTAATGATTCTGCCTGCAAAAGTTAATTCATTTTTTGTGTAATAAATTTAAAAATATTTTTCTACCTTTTTGTAATGAGTTAGCAAGCTAGTCTCTCACAACATAATACTTGGATGAATATTTTTACAAAAATTTATTGAATTTATCCTGTATCCCTAAAATTACTTACAATTTTTACAATATTTTCCATGGTTTTCACTCCAATGAAGAGATTTCATTGTTAAATGGGAATTTATTTAATAAATAGGATGATTTTCTCATTAAATGTAAATTAGATTCATATTAAGAGCTTTATTTTTAAAGAACAGCTGATGCCTGCAGTGAAACTTTGAAAGGATGATTAACAACAATTCATTCCACATAACACTTTTTTTTCTAGAGTTTATGCATCTTTAAAACAGTAAAAAGAAAATATCTGAATAGGTGAAAATATAAAACATTTCCATAAAAAATTATTAACCATTCATTTCCCACCTCATATATGTTACAAAAAGAAACAAAAAAAGTCTAAATGTGTATTTATATAGTGATATATTATCACAGCTGAAAGTATTACCAAAACTCTTCCTTTTAGTAAAAAGACTTAGTTTTTCTTACCTTTAAAAAAAACAAAATTCCCATCACTGTTTTCATAAACTGCATCAATGTTTGGAGGCAGTCCCCTCCAGAAGTAGTTAATCTGCATGGGGTATCCGTCCATCACCCTGTTGTTTCTCACGCGCCAAAACCATTGATCCTGGAAACCAAACATATGAGTCTCTCGTTATACTTTGAGACATTCATATACGTTCAGTTACTGTCTTGAAAATAGCAAGAAGCCTATCCCAGCATTTTAAGAAGATGACCTTCAACCATTTGCATAACCATACCGGTGTTTATATTCATGTCACCTCCCTACGTTGCCCGTGTGTCAGAACTACTTGTTCCCTGAGATTGGAACATGTTACCCATGTGAACCATGTGGTGTAGATAACTTTCTGTAGAATATGCAACATGCTGCACATGATGATGTAACCTTGTCAGCCCACTGTATAGAAATACATCTTAATCATATGCATAGATGAGGGCTACAACTGGAAAAGCTCTTTGCCATCCTGGGTTTTAAGGAGGACTTCAGTAAAGAAAAAAGGCTCTAATAGCTTACACAACCAAAGTACCATATTGAAAAAGTTACTACTGTCGAGAGACTGTATTCTATTCTACTCTAACCCCTAACATTTTTTTCATCAATAGCAAGAAGATAAAACAAGAAAGCTTTAAGAAAATAAAAATTGTGGGAAAATTCCCTCAAAACAGATACTGGGAAGTACTTTTTCATTGAGACAGTAATAAATTCATGAAATGTATTTTTTAAGATGAGATTTTTCAAAGGGTTACCAATCTCAGAATGACTTAGGTGCTGTTCCAGGAGAAATGATGTAACAGTAAGTCTCAATAGGCCAAATTTTTGTCCTCTGCACATTTCTGTGAGATCCTCAAAGGCCAGAGAGTATCTCAGAAATCAGTTATTAAAGTTTGATTTTTATTAAAAAAGGGGGAGAAATAAGGTGCAACAATTTGAAACTTCAGTCTTTTATCAGTCTCATAGCATTTACTGTCTTTAATAAAAACAAATTTTCCATCCTCATCTTTCCTCATTCTAATAGCAGGATATATCACGTTATTTGGCTGACTTTGGCTACAAAAGTTCACCTTAGAAAAAACATTTTAGTTATAGGAAGGAGCCACTCTCATAAAACCCTCACTAACTGCACAGGAAGTTGATCAAGATGACGGAACAAATTAAGCAAAATATTTAAAGCTGAGAGAGCACTGGCTACTTAGTAGAATACGAATGGACATAAGTACAAATTAAATCACTTTACTGAGCAAAGGTCCTAAACGAAATGCTGAGGCTTTCAGGAGTTTCCCAGTATAATCTTCATAGTCAGGAAAATCTCTATGCCACTGCTATGGGCAAAGATTGTAATAACAGAGGCTGGCTAATAAATTTTGACTTTCAACTACTACACTATAGCAGATGTTATAAATCACATTAATGTGTTACAAGAAAAGTATTTATCTAGCTCCAATGACAGCAGCAATTTCTTTTCATCAGATGTACATTGTAAATTTGTCATTCAATTATGTTGCCTTCCGATTTTAAAAAAGTTGGCTGATCCTCTGGTTTGAGGTTGAGTGAGTTTCAGCTGTAATGATCTGTAGAACTTACTTGCATTGACTGGCTTTGATAAAAAGGCCAACAGAATGATAATCTACAGATTTGGTATGGAATGGTATTTTATACTATGTATTTCACATTCAGGGTTATGTAGGATAACAGTGAGAATATCCTAATTTAGTTTTTGCTCAAAATACTTAGCAAGCTAATAATTTCCCCTGCTATTATACAACTAATATTATCACAAAAAATGCAATTGTGGAAAGATGAAATTTGTGACTTATGTAGCACAATTCCATGGAGTTTACACACATATATGCATTTTGTAATATCAAATCTGGGCATACACAAGATTTCAACAACTGAAGAGCGCTAGGAAAAGATAAAAATAAATCAGCATGTTATTGTGCATAAATATCTATCCCTGATAGGCACAGGCCTTTTCATCTGACATTGTTTATAGAAGTTCTCCACTAAATCCTGTAGAAAAGCCATGAATTTTCAAGATCTGTGTTTTATCTGCACATTTTTACTCTAATTCTACTAAGTGAAACTTGTATTCTCTAAGAGGGTATCCTTCACTAAAAAAAACAAAAAGCTTCTCTAAATAAACAAATAAATAAAATAATAAATAAATAAATAAATAGCATCCTGACACTAGAATGTACTAGCTAGTGACATTTTCTATGACAAACTGCATCTCAGTGTATTTGATTATATCAAATAAACAGTTTTGTCTCTTTTGAGAAACAGCAGGTATTGTAGAACTGCTTGTTTCCCATTATATATGTGTGTGATATACTTGCAATTACTTTATTTCCCCAAAACACATCAACTCCTTCAGACGAGTTGAACCATGACTTACCACATGGATTCAAACTACAAGCATGAGAAACACATCTTGAAATTATGACTTTTCATCCTTTTCCTAGCTGTCCAGCAAATGCCTTGTGTGAGCAGCTACAGCTAGCTAGATACAGCTATATCCTCTTAACTGTATGGGCCACTCTAATGCAGGTGGGATCTTGCTTAATAATAGATCATTAAATATTATGAATATAGGCATAGCAAGTAAATTAAACTTGGACAGTTATTCACATTAATAAAGAGAATAGAAGATCTGCAACCAAGAAAACAGGCAAAATTGATCAATATATCACAGAATCAGTAAACAGGTGTTGAGTAAGGGCAGACTGCAAACTCTTTCACGAACACTATTCCAAATAAAAATTTATAGTGGGATGAAAGAGCAGGTGAGGTTCCTCTGAGCATTGACACTTGTTTTGTTTAGAGGTTGTGATAATTTTGAGGGAAGAAAAAATAAAACCTTGGCTTTATGAAGAAGGACGTTATACATAAATTATTCTGCACTGTCAGTAAATGCTCTAGGTAATTTTTCTGTGCATATTTAGCTTAGCAATGAATTGAAGGAACTAAAATCTAGTGGGACACTCTGGTGAGTAAATGCCTTAGCATTTGACCTTTGTGTGCATCAGTTTCATTACTACATTGTGTAGAATAACAAGAAATATTTTCTTAAGTTCCAAGTTCCCAATAACAAGTTTCAAGTTGTTTATTAACAACTTGGAGATCCTTGTATGGAAGACTGCATTAATACTGTGTTCTCCAAAAAAACTGTCACCTACTTCATTGGTTCTCATACTTTGTTGCTATATACAGACACCCTCTACACTTATAATACAGCATTTTTAGCTTATTAGTAATGATTGTGATAAACTCATTTATTTATATATTTCATTACATTTCATGATCCCATGAACTCTTTTAGAAACTCTTTTAAGTCAAACAGATTACAGATTTTGTTTTATTTATCTGGTGCCTTCAAGCTGCCATCGCATTTTTTATAAATTAGCTTTAAAATCTGTATTATTATGAATATTTCATTTCTATTTATGGATTTATTCTCACCCTCAGTGCCCTTCAGATTCTTTTAGGGACACAGTTGATGACTAGGAAAATTAAAAACAATCTTCAAATATTTCAATTCATCCATAAATAATAATATAGTTGAGTTTTCAGGCAAAATTAAGTAATTTTTTTTCATTCAGCACCTCATTTTCTTCCTCACCCCTTGACCAATAACTATTGCCAAATGTGAAACATTAATGTGCTGTAAAATCTGCAGAGCTCTGCCCTTTATTTTGATACCTAATGAACTCTACCTAACAATTCTGGAACTCTATGCAGGACCCTGACTCAAGAGTTCCAGATGATACCCATTAATAATGGAAAGACTATCCAAAGTAGTAGATTCTGAATGTTGCACAAAGAGAAAAAATGTGTTAAAAAGAAGAAAACACAAAGATTTTTTTTTGACTTGTAATTTTCATATCTACTGGAAATGAAAATTATGTTGATTTCAAGTTCTCGTGCTGGTTTCACTGGGAACATTAAATATCACTGTGTAAAATACAGAAGAAAAAGATTTAAGGCAGACAGTGGGATAGGTGAAAAACAAGGATATACTACAAATGTAAATTACAATATTTTGACTACGATTTCAAAAGCATGTGCGAAACCACAAGCGCTTCATGGATGGACTCACAGCATGTGGAGCTGTGATATCAGCTCTGGGTCAGCAGTGCTCTGACTTGATATTAAAGTGCACAGTGTTGTTAGGGGGACTTCACTACCAGAAAAGATGGAATGAGGTGCAAAGCTGAAATACTCAGCAGCTTCTAGAGAGAGGTTTTACTATGACTAGATTCCATAAGTATCACTACTTTCTAAAATTTCCCCCCAAAAAGGTAAGCATTAAACCTGTGTTATAAATCAATGCTAATTAAATTCTCAGTGGCAAATATTATTGTATCTTAATATTATTGTCAGAACACAAAGTTTCATATCTTCTCCCATACTCCAACTCTCACCATATGTAAAAGCAAGCTGCTGCCAGTGGAAGATTAAATATATTCAGAAGTTGCACATATAGAAAAATTCACACAAATGGGAATCCTTCTTTTTTTTTTTTTTCCATCTGAGAGTTTCAAGAGCAATTATTGTAAATAATAAGCTCTGTTATTTACTCATTTTAAGTTATCTTCCTACAGATAAGGAAGAGATCCAATTTTAAAAAGAGAACCTATCTGAAAGATAGAACCTGCAGAGCTCTCTTTCAAGATTATGATTTAGGAGAGAATATTTTAGGAAAGAAATTTTATCTAAGGAATTCTTGTTAAGCAGTAGTGTATATGTTTTTCTAACACATACTCTTCTGTTTTATTTATCTATTTATTTATGTAAATAACAAGGTAAAAAGGAATGCCAAACTAGTCAAAATGGCTTTGTTGATGTTACAGTCTTCCTTCTTAGCTCCATCTTCCGAGTACTTGCTACTGGAATGAACGGCATCTTTTACTCATTTCAGACCTTTCATTGCTCATGCTAAACCCTCTTGCTGTGCTTTTTAAAAGAGCATCATAAATCAAGAAACTAGGGTTAAAAATTAAGGATAAAAAAAAGAAAAAAACCATTTCTGTTTCCAAAGGGGGCAAAGAGCTTATATAACCTTTGACTGACTTTTCTTCACAAAAGAACACTTTCTTTTCTTCTCA